TCATACTCTTGCCTCAGGCTATCTGAATGCGTTGACTGAGAGGGTGAGTGTAAGATACATACATATACCTATGACTGACCGAAACTCATGACTTATACATTTCGTTATCAAATGCAAAGCGTCCATACCCAAGGGTAGAGAGAGTGGCAGATTAGCTAGTTTTGCGAAATGACAAGTAGTAAAAAGAAATCAACCACGATAAAAATGCAAGACAAATGATAAAGGATAAAGTTTTTGGCGTTAATCAATCCCGTCTGAGGGATGCGCCCCGGCACTCGACTTCCATTCAGAATCGTAGTGGCGTAATGAGTGTGTATGTGGCCTATACATGCAATGACTTGCGGTGGCCATCCAATGTACAAGTCAGTGCTTTTATCCTCCCAGACGAGTCTGGTACCAATTCGCCGACTCCGGAGGGATGGAAGGCTTCGTTGGCCTAGGCGGGCATCGATCCGGGATTCGAACCCCTGAGCGTGCGTGCGATATAGTGCGCCACTTGCCACTACACCACCTCCGCCTTTAAATGCAAGAGCAATTTAAAATTAACCCGTCAGCGGTAGATACTGATTCACACTGTTGATATTTATACAGAGCGCGAGGAAATAGTGGGTGGCATAGGAAGAAGAAAACTCATAAAGGAAATGATGAGAGAGAAGACAAAGGCCATCTTTAACCAGCCAGTCTTCATAGCGAACTGGGGAGACTTTTGCTATTACTTGATGTGCGTAGATCATTTCAGTGAGCACGAATCGCGTTCCAACTCGCAGGAGTACTTCCTATGCAGCGCTGACTGAGTGTCTGAGATTTGTGAGAATAAGGACTCTCTCTCAAGCCTCGGCATTTTGAAAAGGATCATCGGACTGAATGAACTTGAAATGGTTACAAACAGTACGCAACACAGAAATATAAGGTTGTGTCACATTGATACATCTACTAGTTCGGCTTTTTTTAGCGCTCGGGTGTGCTTTCACGAATAGTCTGCTGAGGTATGCAGCATCTTTATCGGTACCGCGTGTGGCCTTCCTGAAATCAGGGACGTGTGAATTGAAGTATTTGAGAGCAATTGTGCTTTGTCTTGAGATCATTGTACTTCAAATACAGTGAGGCTGTTTCCTGCTGCTTCCTTCTCAGCCTGCGAAAGCGAGTTGTGGTGGAGGGCCATACTTCGAGAAACTTTGTGGCGCCTGGCCTTATACTTGAGACGGTGATTGGCCTGTGAAAGTTGTGCAGGTTGAGGCATGTCTTCTCCAATGTGCAAGTTTACACGCCATGGAAAGAATGGAACTGACCATTAGGATTTGATTTGCAAGGATCAACGCATTTCTCATACAGCTGCAATCATTTAAACACATCGATAGCTTTCTCTATACTGGCTATAATTCTTGACTAGTTTTGTTTTTATAAAGTTTTAATGTACTTCGTGGTAACATGAAGGAACATGAATTATAATTTCTTCATGGAGAGGCTGAGCCGACCCGCTTTTCCCACCCTGTGGTGTGACCAATCTTTTTTCATGGATTTCATGTGAGGTTCGTGCCGAACAGGTGCAGTGAGTGCTTTCGAGCCGGAACTTTCTAACTTCAGTGAATTCGCAATGGTTGTCACAACGAAGCTCAGAATGAATAGTAAGCTTGAATCTGAGACAGATCCAGCACTCGCTAATTTTTCGGTATTCTTTCGTATTATGCTAGCGTAGTCAGAAGTTGTAAGCATGAGTAGGCTCCACAGCTTGTCGTTCTCCTTGTGAGACGTCACCTTATATTAAAGATCACAGATAATCAATGCTCGGCAACTGATAAATCGTTGGACCTATCCTCGCTGGATTTCAGGTTTTCTTAAACTTGAGTCCTGAATCAAGCTCCCAACTTGCACTACATCTACATTTGGTAAAAAGTGTAAAGGAGTAAGAGTTGCAAAGCCCCACTTGGAAGTTTTGCAAAACTGACATCAGTTTGCTTTGTACTAGGTCCATCCGATGTACCATGTCTGCCACGTGGATTTTTGTGTTTGTGTATTGACAGATTTACACGGTCACACCAAAGCACAGTACTTTATGCGTATGCATTGAATTTGGGTAATTAAACCAGTGAACAACTTGTAAACAACAACAGTAATTGGTCGCAATGCTAATAAAGTCTCAGAAAGAAATAAAAAAAGTCGGCGCTGGAGACGGCCCACGCAGCCTTTTGCACCGCTGGGTCTTTTTCAATTTCAGCCAGATCGTGCTGTAACTCGTCCTGCGGTGGATCGTGGAGTCCTGTTATCCTCATACGAGGCCTACTTCAGTTTTCATCAAAAAGGGAACACCTACGTAACGGTCAAAGTACATGTCGAAACGCTTTTTTGAAGATGGTTTTTCTATTGCTCAACAAATTCGCTTCGAATTTCCAAATGATTTGCCACTCAAAATTGCGAAGAAGATGCTTTGCAAACATCTTTTCGACGTGAGACCTATCTCAATGGTTGAGAAAGCTGAAACTTCGAAGTCACACGTTCAACTATACATAGTAGATATGAAAAAGGAAGACATGAGAGGTACAACGATGGCGAGAATGCCGAAAATTTCAGAAGGCACAGTACCATCAATTCTCACTCGTTTCGGTGAAAGAAACACGGTATCTAACGTTCCTAGTTGGAGCAGCCCGCGTTTAAGGTTTACTCGCCAGGATAAGCACATCGTTTGATTCTCAAACGACGATCCCACGCTTGCCAGCGTCAACATCGCGGATAAGTTCAATGCCGAATTCAATGTAACAGGGTTGATGGAAAAGCGGCCCAGCTAAAAAGGCTGACAACTTGGAAGAATAAAAAGGCAAGAATAGGCACTGGACATCAAGCGATTGGAGCAAGATTCCCTTCACCAGTGAGAACAAGTTCAATCTGTTCGGATCTTACGGTATCAAGTATGTGAGACGTTCTACCGGTCAAAAATGTAATCCGATACACACCAAACTCTCTTCAAGCACAGTGGAAGATCAACGCATTCTCATTCAACGGAATGGGCCCTATTATTAGTATCAAAGGTATGTTGACTGGACAAAGTTTCGACAACATGGTCAGAAAAAAAACTTGCCCTTTGCGGGAGAGAACTTTTCAGTCGGATGAGTTTTGCAGAAAGATGATGACCCGAAACACTTCTCATGCTGAAATAAAAGCGTTCAAGCAAAAAAGTATGTGAGAATTCACTCTTCGAGATCTGAGACAAGCGATTTCATTATATTTTCGATTTGAGCGAAACGACCTGCTGGCTTGACTTTAAATCTATTGATGGCCTTCTGGAGATATCCAATCACTGATTACTCAAATGTTCTGTTAGGGATGGCCTAAACAGTGGAACTTGAGAACAAAACCTTGGACTTGTCCATAATTTACTGCAGCTCTATGTTATCATGGGCACTTTTTTGCTCATTCTGGGTATGGGCAAAGTTTTGAGCATCAGTCGATCCTGTATCTGGGTCGCGTCGCCTGCAGTCGACTTCCATTCAGGATTGCAGTGGCAAGTAAGATGCGCATGTGACCTACGAAATCACTTGCGGTGATCAGACCCGGCAGAAATCGGTCTTCTTGTCCTTCCAGACAAACTTGATTCCAATTACCTGATCCCGTGGGGATGGAAGGCTTGTTTGTCTGGGCGATATCGATCCAGGATTCCATCCCATGATCACTAGTGCGTGATAGGTCGCCATTTGCCTTGTTCCATAGACTGTGCCTCTCTGGCACATATCTAGTGAAGGTAATCACTGAATGAGAAATGTTTTGTGAAAGTTTTGATTCGTTCTTTTCTGTTATCCACCCTCTTGAGCGAGATTTTATATTTCCCTTGCCTCGAACAACTAACCACCGTGTTCCATTCCGTGAAGAATCTGGAAAGAATACCGTTAGCAGACTGTTATGTCGAAGCTCCTTCAGCATTTCTTGGATGAATGACCGTTCCTAGTAATTTGTGTTTCAGAGAATCACAAAGTTGTTTCAGATTACTATGTTTTCCCACTTACTTGTGAGGTTATCTTCAGCCGAGAGAGCCTGTGTGATTGGTGGCAAAGCTAATTATGTGGAGCTGATCCTAGATTTTTATTGTTACAGAATAGCTCATTCCTTCTAAAGAACCCTGTTCTTCCTAGACTTCACCGTATGCTTATTTTGTAGGGTGCGGCTTGAAAGTCTCATTCAGAGGTATGCCGTCCTAGCAACATAAGTTCAATAACTTATTGATGTCAGCCTTTTCTGACTTGTTCTAAAACTTACAATTGTCTGTATGGTTTCAGATTGCCACCAGTCTTTACTGACTGATACGACGTGGAATTACTCGTATGTACATATGAGTAGGTATTAGAAACGAGTAGTAGAAAGATCGTTATTCTAAAAAACTGACTGGCGAGCGCTGGGTCGAAGAATTAGGAACTGAACTAGACAACTTTTCACAGTCGTTCCACGTAACCATCCTATTTTAGAGGAGGCCCGAATAGGACTAGAGTAGCTTGTGGCGACAGCATGATATCTCGTAAGAGTGATAAAATTCAGACGAATAACCCCTTGCGTCACAACGTTCCTCTTGTAATTGACGAGATGCTTATCTTACCTTTGTTCAAATGAGCTTTACCAAAGTGGGAAGACAGAAGCCCAAACGGAAGACGGGCAGTGGGAACGGTTTTGCGTTATCGATCCCCCATGCGCGACCATTTCGTTCCTACTGCTCCACACCCGCTGAAAACGAATACGAGGACCAAATTTCCAAAGGTGTCATTGGAAAACTTGGAAGCGGCAAATTATTTTCTTGGCCCAAGACTTTTATAAAATTATGCCGAGGTTATGAGAGTCAAATTTTCAAAGCTGTGATAATATTGAGGGTTCAAAAAAGAGTGAGGAGCTTGCTATTTGCTTGAGTGCGATGATTCGATCGCAGTTCTGTATACCTTGACCCTGTTTCGGATGAAGCAGATTCTCTTTAACAGAATACATCGCAGGTGGCACCAGTTCACAATGGTTTAGACTTTTTCAGCATGCAAATTACCCCGTCACTCGATTTACTGTCCATAATTCTAGAAAACGAGGAATCCTTGAATAAACGAGCTGGTGGTGGCAAGTTCCGGATGCGGGATATTCTCCTGAACAGCTATCTCAACAGAGTTTGGTGAGTTTAGACGATTTTCATTGGAACGTATTGCTTGAGACAAGAATAATTAAAATCTCTGGACCATATCCAGATGTCCGCGACTCACGTCACCAACTGTTGAAGGAGTTCCACCGGCTAGGGATTGCAGATATATTCTTTTTTGGCAGTGTGTTGCGAATAAATCAATACTGATACATTAATTTTTCATTACATGTCTTTAGATGTTTTTGTGGTTTTCAAACCTAAGCTTTTACCATGGTGGCAACACGATGCTTGATCCAGTTTTGGCGGTTGCTATCGCCCTATAATCACAATAAAAAACGCAATGAACGAAAGCCTATCGAAGCGGTCACCTATAGCAGCATCTGAGTCCTCTGTCGTTGCCTTCGAACTTCAATATTCGGTGTGAACACCTGAACACTTCCGATTTTTACAGATTTTTACAAGAGGACTGCTACAGCTCACTTCCTCAGTTGGCTCATCGAGTGTACAAAGAATGAGGCAGTTGAATCACCCACGTAGTTTGATGACTCAGAAGGTGAAGAACACTTCAAATTCTCATCTGTTCAGATCCCATTGCAAGAAAAACCTCACTGCATTTGATCATCACTCAAGGAGCTTTCTAGTCATCAAGAAATCAGCGATACTGTCAGGGGAACGTCCTTTTGCTAAACAGCAAGAGTCAATAAAGACCAAAAACAAGTGCCTCGGTACTGTCAGATGGCAGTGGTGGACATTTTGTAACTGATAATGAAAAGCAAAACATTCACTGAAATTTTCCTATCTTCGTATACTAACGGAGACTCACGGAGACTGACTTCGAGTAGGACTTTGAGCACAACTTCTTTCACTGATATCAGCGCAACCCCTGAGAGAGTATTAGGAGCTTCCAAGTTTTCAAATTATAACGTTCTTTTCGTCCACGACATTCTTCAAATTGCAATATTTATTTATTTGTTTGTTTATTTGTGCACTCCACTGAGTGCGCGCAGCTAGAAGCAAGTGAACCACCCGCCGCCACAATACAATGTGAGATTAGGAATAGAGAGAGGACAGGAATACCTGTGAGTATAAACCCCCAAAAGCTGCACTGATAGTGAGGCCACGAAGATGCCCTGTAGACAGTAACCGCACCCGTTGGCCATGGTGTCCTAATTTCGTCAATAGTCATCAGGCCAAGTCGGAACTTCGGCACACGGGTTCGCCAACCTCCCTCGTGGATCCGACTTGAATACTACTGGCAAAATGGCAGGAGTGAACAATTAAGCCGGACGTTGCGTAAAATTGGAAGCATCGAGATAAGCAGACTTAGCAACGGTGGAAACGGACTGCAAGTTAAAGAGCACCAGGAAAGGAGCTCAACGAAATAACAAAGACAAAAAATACAAACCAACCATGGAAAATGAGAATAAGTGTAAGCAACCTGTAGAGAACATAGGAAAAAAGATAGGCTCATGAAACAAAGAGCTTAGAAAAGGTAAAAAATGGCGACATAGGGATATAATCCAGATCCATAATGCGCTGTGAGGTAAACTGAAGGTATAGAGAAGCATTTCATCGCAAGCATCAGCCGAACATAGATTCACGGGAAGCTATAGCAGTACTGTTGAAGAAACTCGATTCTCGCCATGCATTGAAGAACGACAGCAAACTAGGAAAACTTCTAACGCTGGGACAGCTAGAGACCTGCAATATCAAGAATAGAGAGTAAATCTATTTGATTGAGCCTTTTCTTAAAAACAGAAATGTTTCTAGCCTCCAAAATGCTAGTTGGAAGCAACTGCAACCATTTGGTTATTGGAAGAAAAGCAAATTGAGGGTCTTAGTTTGGTAATACCTGCAATTCCTCACATATTGGAGGGAAAGTTCAGTGATCCTACCTCTGCAAGGTTTAAAGATCCAGTAGTTGCTAGGCTTTATTTTGATAATAAACATCTGGAAAAATGTATATGCAGATCAGCCTACTGATAAGAACTTACTCTAAAAGCAATCAATATGGGAATAAATCGTTCTGACCAAAAAAGTAGCGTCTTTCGCTACACATTGGTGTTTTGCTCGACAAATCTCTCCTTTCATCCATCTGAGTCTCGCAGTAATACGTTCTTTCGCGTCAGGAATAGGGAAGATGGCTCTGTCATAAGGTTCTCGAGGGATTAGAAATTCTAGGGCTGGGTTCCGCACTATGTGGCAGTACCAACATCCTTTGTCCTCCGCTCTACAACCTTTTGGCTTGTGTTCTTTCCTGAGGCATAGTCTGCAATAACCTTCTTGGTCTCCTCATTCTGGACATTCTCATCAATGACCATCTTCTCGGCACGAGTCAATTCGTATTCGATATCCGAGATATTGCGATCTAGGCGTTTTTGTTCGATCTGTATCAGCGTGNTATCGTTTTGATGTCATGATCATCGTCTTCCAACCATTCCATTCCCCTATCTATGTAGGGAATTTAATCTCATCGACTTTCATTCTGTAGATCGAGTCGAGGAGCATGAATGGTTTATGTAAAACTGTGAAGTCTCTCCTTTGCGTATGTAGCTGCTTTCCAGAGTTGTGAAGCTGCTAAAATAAGCTCTCCTCCTGAGAAGTTCGCTTCGGTAGCAGTCAAAATATGGTGTGCCAACTGAGTATCCAGTTTTCTGGCCATAATGGCATGGGTGTGAGTTTTGCCTAAGGTTGAGAAATTTGAGAATGTTATTGCTTACCATCACTCTCTGATGATGTTTTTGAGAAGGCGACCAGCAAATTTAAGCTCTTTTCCATTTAGGAACTGGGATTGCCGTGATATTTTGTCGTTCTCTAGTAAAGCTACACTTAACTTCTTTCCCCTTCCGTGAACTCGTCAAACAAGAGCTCTTAAGAACTTTAGTGCATGAGCTGATATTCGCTTTGCCTGAGTGAGAGTCCCGACATGCTTTGTGGTGCATCGACCAACCTGTTGTATGTTGGCCTCTCCTCCTGATGTTTTTGAAGGAACCATGGTCCCGTTCACCAGAAGTGGTTTTTCATCTCATCCGATGGAAGACCTCTTGCGCCACAATCGGCCGGGTTATCTTCTGTCGCTAAGTGCCTGAATATGATACGATCCCCTTTCTCGCTCAGGTGTTCTGCTATGCGACGTATTTCTAACAATCTATTGCTTACTAATGCTCCAAGCTCTCGCTGATCATCATGCTTGACCCGTTTCAACACAATCTCGGAAGCTTAGAAAATTTAGACTTTGCTGATCCTCAACTTTCCTAACTGAGAAACGATTGAGCTGCTCAGACGCATTGGCAATGTTATTGCGTTTAGTTCTAGCTTTGGTATTGTTGAATGTCCATGTATTGTTGGCAACTTTGACCTTGCCATTAGCAAGTGTGAATGCGGTCATTCCGCTGGTACTAGCGTCGGCAAATGTAATTAATATGGCTTCACTAGCCTTAGCAGCTAAAAATCGCGGTAGTTCTTTTTGAAATTCGTACGCATTGTTTCTAATTTGTTCACATTCACTCGCTCGTTCAGTTGACAAATGAGTATCCCATTCGCTGGAGTAATACCCGTGCGTCGTGAAGCTGGGGAACGAACCATCCCAATGGGTCGTAAACCGTCGCTGTTGACCAAGTTATTGTTCGTTTAGTTATTAGTGAAGCTTTTGGAAGCGAGCAAGACATGCAACGCATGTCCGTCATAGGATCCCAAAGAACACCTAGAACTCCAATACCTCATTATTGTTTGAAGCAAACTCGCGGAGATTCATGCCGAGCTCACCGAAAATCTTCTTCGATTTCTTATAGAAATGAATTGCTTCTTGGTATGTGTCCGATGTCAGGATCAGGTTATCGACATATATATCGCCTTTCATCTCTTCGGAAGCAACCGCTTTAAATATCCATTAAATATCGGCTTCTCTCGTCGAAATATGTGTCACGATGATACCTTGTCGTCCCTGCTGAAAGAAATGGCGATGACTTGATTCCGAATGTGACTCGGGTAAAACGCAACACGAGGATATTGTCTTTCCCTGGTGGCTTTTTGTGATCTCGCAACCACAAACAACGAGTGGCATCTCCATCGTTCTCATGTAGTCGAATCCTTAGAAAGGCTTTATCAACGTTCGAAATTAAAGCTATTGTCCCTGTGCGGAATCGAAGCAACAATCTATACAATGATTGCAGTATGACCGGACCTCTATAGAGTACGTCGTTGAGAGACGGACTGCCTCTTTAGACAGCTGACGCATCGAAGACTACCCGCAATTTAGTCGTTGTCTTGCGTGGCGTCGGAATCGGCTGATGTGGAATATAGTGGGTTTGATTCATTATTCTTGAGTTATTGTCGTCTACTATTTCCTTCTATAGCTCTTCTTGAAATACACTAATATATTAATCAAACAACAATTCATCTTTCTTCAATGATGCCCACACAATGATAACCTTTTGTAGGCTATCGCGTAGTTGTCCAGGTATGGTACTGTCCTTTCTACGGTATGCGTACCTAGTAACCGTCCTGCCTTCTCTCTATTATTTTATTGAATTGCTCCCATACCATTCTAACAGTGCTCCTCGGGCTTCTTTCGATGGTCCTATTGAACTGCTCCGTCCCAACGGCGTCCATTGTCCAGTAGTTTTCCCACATCTCTTGCTCTGCTTCGGCCGATGCACCAAATTTGTAAGGATTGACTTTCGCTTACCAGCCGATGTACCAAATTTGTAGAGATTGAAGGCTCGCCTAACAGTGTATAGATCCACTGGCCACGTGGTTTTCTGATATCTTTGGTAGCGGGTTAAGATTATATCGATAACGAGGCGGATATTCCTGAAACCAGTGTTATCGATATATTGTTTCCCGTTTTCTATGTTGATGCACTTACTGGGACGTTGGATCGCTTTAGGAGTTCCTCTAAAGATATTGATGCTACGCCGTATTGGTAGTATTGGTCGATAGATTGCTTGTATTGGTTGATGGATTATACCTAGTATTGGTAGATTGATAGTATTGGTCGATGGATTTGTTCCTTACTTGGAAGAATAGATACGTACTCTTTATTTGAAACGTAGGTTTCAAAAATACAGGGAATAATAGAACAATAGTTAGCGGGATCGTCGATGTTGTTGAAGTACGGTATCGCCAGACGGGGAGATCTCGTCAGAAGCCAAGCTGTGACAAAAAAGCCGCCTAAGTTTGCAAGCTCGCCATTTACGTGGCATCGTTCCGTCAGCGGCGATGTAATTATAAACATCTGGAGAAACCTCGCTATTTACGTGGCATCGTCCCGTCAGAGGCGTCCCGTCAGCGGCGATGCAATAATAAACATCTGGAAACATGCATATTTAGATCAGCCTGATAAGAACTTACACTAAAAGCGATCAATAAATGGATAAATTGCTCAGACCATATCTGCAAAGAAGTAGCGTCTTTTGTAGTCTGAGCCACTCGTATACGAAAGGCGATAACATTATGATCCGCTGAGACGAAGGGAGGCTGTACACAAACATCCTCTACAAGTTCAGTGGAGGCTTAGCTGAGGTCTAGAAATGAATCGCCACGAGTAGATTCTTTGACGTGCTGAATAAGGGCGCAACAGTTGAAAAAATCAAGAAATCTTGTCGAGTAAGCATTTTTGGCAACGCCGGCTCTCCAATCAATATCGAGATTGAAGTCTCCTAGCGAAATTGGATGTACATGAGAAGAAGTGAGATCGAGTAATATGTCAATAAGTTGTTCGTCATGAGCCATCGAAGACCCTGGAGGCCGATAAACCAAGATTAGTCTTAAAGAATCAGAGAATGAGGAATCAGTAACATCAAAACATGGAAGCGGTACGAACAGGGTGAATATTTAATCCGTATTTAAACAAACAACGCACACCCCCACCCTTGTAGCACCTACGATCAGATTTGGATAAACTATATGGAAGATCAACAACAATTTCGGAATTGGCTATTCTAGAAGACATCCATGTTTCTGATATGAATAACAAGTCCGGTTTCCCTGAGCTCAACAAAAGGTGAAGGTGATGTAGTTTAGAGGTTGCGTGCATTGAATAGCATGCAGTTAAAACCTAGAAGAGAACCTTGACACAATACTTGTTTCCCGAAGCGCGCGATTTGGGCAGGTCCTGGGCTAACTTCAGCTCGCCCCGGTACACAACCTACATGCGGCTTTTGGCTTGATCATTCCGAATTTTGCATTCCTGCTTGAGCTCATGGTCCACCTTTCGTTCAGCAGGTGTTATACTTCGACGTATACAGTCATTACGGCATTAGAATTGCGAAGAGATAAGGATTCGACAGTGCAGTTATCTGGTGAGACCTACATTGCAATACCAACTTAACTAAGCGGGGGCGTGTGTCCGCAGCTTTACAAAAACGATAAATTTCTAAAGGTCGACATTCGACACCAAGAATGTCCAAAAGATCACCTACTTCGGCCTCCAATTCAGACTGCTTAGCCGAAGGACGCAAGTTGGGGGACGATTCAGGAAGTCCAGCGATAACGAGGCTACGTCCACGTTTCTCAGCTTCAATTCCAGTAGACACTTCTTCAGGAATTTTAGAAGCGAGCGCCTTGAGCATTTTGTCGATTACTGGATCCTTATTCCGTTCCGAAATAGCATGCAACAACTCCTGTGTTGATAAACTGTGGAAGTCACTCTGAAAGGGACCATCCACTCCTAGATCGGGGGTCTGCTTAGCTGAAATTGTTGCAACAGCATCGCCTGCGGAGTCCTTTCTTTTGTTGCGCTTGGATTTAGCAGGCATCACGAAAACAGGGAGTTAATAGTGATCAACCAATCGATCGCCGGAGGTGGGCGCCGGAGCCGCCTCAAACCACGCAGTACTTAGTAAAAACAGAAACAAAGCAAAACTGACAAGACAACCCCAGCAAACCCCATCCCTGGTCCCGTGCCTGTGAAGAGTCACGCTTACCTCCACTCCAAGCCGCCACAGCTTGACTGCCGGCGACCATGGCTTTTGTGCTTCCCCCTGTTGAGCGCTCCACAACTTCCTTAATAGAATCGTTTGGCAGATTTTGAATGCAGATTAGAAATCAGCATCAAAAAAGACGCCTAGCAGTGTAGGTCCCATTTCAAATGGCCACTTCGACTTGGGATCCTTCCCTTGTTAGATGTGTCCATGCATACGTGTGTGGAGGTCTACGAAAGCATTTGGCACCGTGTTCATCTGATCAGCCAAAAGCTTGCGTTCGAGTGACTGGGTAGTATTCAGGGGGCGACTTGGGACAGCCTCCAGAGTCAAAGCCTTTGTCCACTCTGAGATAGCCTGGCTCTCCCGTAGCTGCTCCGGCCCCACACTAAAGCCTAGAATGCTACCTCTGTGTATCCACATGCCAAATTAGTAATATGAATGGGCCTTACCCCTAAACCTAATGGAGCCATCAGTGCGGCAGCGTTGGATAGGTTGGCTCAAGAGAGGCTGCTGAAATTTCAGCGCTAAAACAGGCTGCTCAAAAGGAGGAGGGATGGTAGAAGGATGGCACTTCCAGCGCACCAACGATTGCATCGGAAGCATTATCGAGGATTTGATGATGCAGGCTTGGAAGATCAGGCATGGCGTCATCGGACCGACCGAAACGAGAAGACAACGCCCGTTGCACGCCATTCTTGAGACTGGAGACTGTCTTTTAGTTTATGCGACCGCGGAGGCGTCGGCGGTGTAGGAGTCTTTGTCAACACGTACTTGGCCACGAACATAGATTCGTACGAAACATGACAACCCTAATCGGGCGTTTGCAATTTAGAAGATGTGGCTCAATTCTAGCACCTTCGATCTTCGTTGCCTACGTATAAACATCGCGCTACGGAGAAGATGGAAAAGAGGAGCTGGAAGCGTATGATATAAACCTGAAAAGGCCCTCGGAAAACTCGTTATCCCGTTATCTAGATTGTAGGTGATTTCAGGGTCAAAACTGATCTCATAGAAAGGGCTGAGAAGCTACATATCGGGAATCAAGAAAAGGAATGGGATGAGCAGGGTAAAAGACTATCCAAGTTTATTATGTCGGCACACGTTATCTCTCAGCATCAGACCCTTGCCTCCTCCATGCTAGATTATGTTTTACAATGCATGGAGAAGAGCTCTGGAGATGAGAAAAAGTGACCCCGAGACCTCTACAGGCTGAAACCTCTTTGCTCTCCTTGAGGGTCTCTAGGAAGATCCCGTTATGGACAATATCGATGAATGATACATCCGGCTTGTCGAAAATCTTCACGTTAGTACTGAAAAAACAGAGCCTACAAGTAGCTGAGGGACGTATCTCTTTGAAGACTCTTGAGCTGCTTACGCCGGAGAAGAACGTGCGAGCTAGAAGCAATCGTCAACAAATGTTCGGAATTGCAGCTATGCTATGCAGAGAAGCGATGAAAAAAGATCTGAAAGAGTGAAGAACAGCAGTTAGACGAAGCCGCCGAGATAGGAAAGAGCGTTCGCAAAATCTGACAGGGCTTCTCCAATTACAAGACTAAGATGACTTCCTTTCGTCGTCCTGACGGAAAAGTTACTGCATCTTGAAGGGCAATGGCGAAGGTCATTTATGATTGCTCGGATCTCTCCGACAGCACGTCTACTACCTACTCACCATTTTAGGATATGCGAACATGTCGCTCTTTCGATTGTCCCTTCCGGAACACTTAATGCCATTACGTCGATGAAGAAATGTACTGCGCTCAGTACCCATAGGATTGAAGCATAACACCTAAAATATTTTCCACATGTCGAGGCAGGCTCCGCAGCCGCTACGTTTTTCATGGTTTCATGTATATTGAAGGCATGCTGAGGCCTCGCCTCCTGGTCCTAGCTTCTCGACCAAGGATACGCACGGTCGTTCTTTGCCTATTTTAGTCTTCACTCGTTATTTGCCTGTGTATCGTCAGTCGTTCCTAACCTATGTTTGACGTCAGTCGCACAGTNAAGACTCGAGGAATGAATCAATCTGTGTCGAAGCCCACACAGGTTTATGGTGCATCTGCCATGATAACCCAACAAGTCCCGCGTAATATACCAAAACCACTCTCCTAACCAGACGAACTGGGAAGACACCGGTTTCAATCCGGAATGAGCGAAATAACACTTCTCTCACAGAACTTGGAGCACGAGCACAACTCATTACAGACATTGATCACTTTTTACAAAAACACGGTAGAGCCAAACCAGCCACCAGCAGAAGAAGATGAAATCCGCATTTAGTCATAAAGGGCTGTGCGAAATGCAAATAGCCTTGAACAACGTGACAACCAAATTGAGTGCGTTAAAAGAAATCTGACAAGATATCATGACTGCGTACGCAGACGCAACCAAAGCTGAGAAAATAGTCAAAATAGGACAGAAAAGAGAGAAAAGAAAATATTCCAAGTAATGGACAGCCTTAAAGAAAGGTTCAATTTTCGCACACTAAAGCCAGAAGCCGAAAACGTGATAGTGGCATTTGAAGCCAGGAAAGGAGAAGCCGATACAGATTGCTCTTCTCGATATATAAATCGTACCCACCTCACCAACAAAGGCTCGGCCACGATAATGCTCTCCACACGAGCGAAGACGAATATGACGACAAATCGGTCGTCGGCGAATGCTGAAGTTTCTCAACCAATAGATCGCGACCAGGTTAGAACCAGTATAGAGTCCCATCAGATGTACTCTCCCCACTATTAAAAATAAGATACCAACAAATAAAACTTCCTCAATTCAAGGGTGATAACATTCTATGGGTAGAGTTTATGGACCTATTCACTCATAGTTGACCAAAATACGCAACTCGGAGAACTAGAAGAGATTATCGATATCAAAGTTGCAATACGTGGCAAAGCCTACAATGCAATAAAAAAAGTCTCAATGAAAACATCCAACTACAGACAAATTGCCTTTTGAAGACGGAATTTGGAAATAAAGGCAATAACAGATCACAAATAGTGCAAAAACTACTGCACCTGCCTAAATAGGGTGGTACAGCAGAAAAATGTGCAGAAATACTTGATAAGATGAACCTCGTACACCAAATGATTGCTACAGGATGTGAAGTNCCAGCATGAAATTTCCCTATGTAGTGATGTTATGTAGTAGTCAAAGAACTCATGAAGAAAGCGTCACAAGATCTAACACTGACAGCAGGCGCCCTATTAGACGAACTTTACACAGAGGTCTCCTCTAGAGTAGTCTCCGAAAAACGATTTGCCTCACTATCAACAAGCCACACGACCTCCACAGATTCCTTTAATCCTAGATTTTTTCTAAAGCCACTATGTCTGTTCTCCCACCGTACCAACCATCAAACCAAGAACAGCCGCACAGTGAAAACAGCACCAGAACGCAGAGCCGCATTGAGAGGTCACTTAGTATAGTATAAATGCTTCGCATACCTCTTTCCACTACAGTAACCAGCCAACAAAAACTCCGTCTCGTCACCGAGACAGCGAAGTGCGGGAGCACTCTCTGAAAAGGGAGAAGGAATCAATATAAGAAGTTTTCTTCATTAAATAAAGGCGCTAGGCTCCAAAGAACAGCTGGCCCTCATGGTGGCAGAAGGCCAAGTCAAAAACAACAATACTGCATCCGAGCACATCTTAATTTTCCTTGATTCTGAAGCGCAGTGCAACCTCATTGAAACAAACGTCTCAGGATCGCTCGGACTCCACAAAGGCGATCCACACAATCAATCCCGTCTGAGGGATGCGCCTCCGCATTCGACTTCCATTCAGAATCGTAGTGGCGTAATGAGGGCGTATGTGCCCTTTACAATGATTTGCGGTGGCCAGCCGATGTACAAGTCAGTGCTTTTATCCTTCCAGACAAGTCTGTGCTTCGACCGCGGGGAATGGAAGGCTTGTTTGGCCTAAGCGGGCATCGATCCGGGATTCAAATCCCTGACCGTGCGTGGGTATAGTGCTCCACTTGCCACTGCATCACCTCCATCCAACCAGTACTATATTGAGAAAATATTGAAACATATATATCACATCGGGTAACAGCTGTTGCCAAAACAAGATTCAGAGACACTATTTCATTGAATCTTGTAACGAAACCGCTGCTAACCAACACTTTCCTAGCAGCTGCATTGTCAAAATTTCTCAAAGAAATTAACATCTTTCTCTCCAATGCGGCGACTAATGGGGAATCTGTAGAACCATCGATACTAATAGGAGTAGAATCGTCTGAGCATATCGTACTCAATGATTCACCCCTACTAGGCTTGCTTCCGGACTTCTGGCACAAAGGACCTTATTTGAACCTGTTCTCTTTGATAAGTCCGACAAACCACTTAACGAACCAAACGAGGAGCGTCACTTGATTGCATGCCCAGAACTGATATCGGAATTCAAACACGAACTCAGAGACATGTCGAACAAGAAGGAATGGGAATGACGACACTGTATAACTACATGGACAGTTTCTCAAAACATATAACTACCGGAAACGGAACAATAATAGCTCCTTTTCCACACAAGGATAATATAGCTGTCCTCGAGAGTAATTATGGCGTCGCAGCATCAAGACTAAATGTTCTTTGCACAAAGCTTATGAATTAGAGGAGCAGTGGTACATCGGAACACTGTAGGAGTACCAATATAATGACATTATCGAAAAAATCCCTAACGAAGAAATTTACCAGCCCAACATCAGCGCCTTTTATTTAGCTCATCCAGGAGTATGGAGGAATGAATTGCTCATCCTTTTGAGAGTAGTATTCGGTGCTTCATCAAAATCAAAAGGCAAACTTTCACCTAACGATGGGATGCACAGTCGAGATG